GCTGCGCGGGGGCGGGGGGGAGGACGCTGCCCGCCGGGTCGCTGCGCCTGGGTTAAAAACACTCTCCAACAGGAAGCTCGGAGACGGAGGCCAGGAGTCCTGCGTCTACTTTCGGATCGGGCTGCTCTAGCAGCTGGCGGGCGGACACCCCTCTGCCCGCTTTCGCTCCGGGCCAGATGCGGCGGGTCCGCTCGCAGACAACTTTATCCGCTCAGACACCGGCCCCGGCCGAGGGCAGCCGGCGGCGGGGTGCGGGTCGTGCAGCGGCCGGTCCGCACGGGCTCGGCCACCGGGGACGCCCAGCCCTCGCAGGTGGTGCCTCCCCAAGGCCAAGGGGACCGGGTTCGCCTTCTTCCTGGGCCGGATGTTTGAAGCAAGATGGCTGTGTTTTGTAAGCCTCTAAAACAATATAGAATACACAGCTTACTGCTCAGAGCCTGACTACCAGTCCCGTCAGCTTCTCCTAACAGCCAGTCGGGCCTTTTAACCGTGTCAGTATTCGGTAGAATTGCCACATTAGGGTAATCAAATGTCAGCAGCTTCTGCATAGTTTAGATGCGGCAGAAAACAGCAGAAATTAAAAAACGTGTTTTGCGGTTGTTATGTTTACCCATAGCATCAGTCATCAGCATCAGACTTTCTACGTCTCAGGTTATCCACATTATCAGTTCATTGGCCTAGAATATCTGAACCACCCAGGTGGTATTGACAACTGCGTGAGAAGGTTTGCAGTAGAAGTGTCATGCAGCCATCCCATAGGATAGTGGAGATAACATTTCATAGATGAAAGGCACTATTACTTGTAATCTGAACATCTTAGAAAGCATCTTAGTCATAAACATTATCCTGAAACGGATAAATGGAAATCAGATATGGGAGGAGGGAATAGATTTGTCCAAGGTCACTTAAGTGAGGAACAGACCCAGAAGAAACAAAACAAAAATCCAGGCCTCCTGTTACATTATTATTTAATGAATGTTAAGTGGCCGCGGCTGCTGTGAAGAGCGCAAGCAGTCTGCCAGCCTAACCTAACAGCACATATGCCAAACAAACAAACAAAAAACCCAAGACTGAGCTGCCAGGGAAGAGTTGCCATAATTTGGGCCACGAAGAGTTTTTGTTTTGCTTGATTTTTGTTTTGCTTGCTTTTTGTTTTGTTTTGTTTTCAGGAAACCAAAATATTTATTGTTGGGTTTATCCAAGAAGGCTGTTCTACATCAACTGAATTCATCGTATCTTTGGGAAATGTTAAATGACAGGTAATGTTCTCTTTCTATGCTAGATTTTTCCATAGCTCCTATTTTTTTGGGGGGGGCTTTAAAGCATTTCTAAGGAGTGGAAAGACTATTTGAGGTGAAATAGTTCTGATCTTTGATTATCTGAACTAATTCAGCTGTCCATCTATAAAATGGAAGTAATGCTCATCTGTGTGGAGATAGGCCTCAAGTTTTCTAGTAGGATCCAGTACATAAGCACCTAGGTTAACTACCTAGTGGCTTCAGGAAGTTCTCTCACTGAGTGAATATTTATTGAGTGCCAACTATGTGCTAGGCATAGTTCTGGATATTGGAGATAAAGCCGTGAACAACACAAGCAATGCTTCTGCCTTCATGGGGCTTATGATCTCTGGAAGCGTTGCCTTGCCCAGGGAAGCAGCACTTGGAGGAGGGGGAGGAAGGAGAGGTCCTTTGGAACCCTATGAGTGGTAAAAACTAGCTAAGGGCGACTGAGGACTTTAGAGTCCAGATGATGGGTAGAGGAGAGCTGCTAGGGCAAAAAGGGATTCTGAAGGGGTCCCAGGGTCAGTTCTGAACTGGCTCTGCTTCTAGAACTCTTGAGCTAATAATGGCCTCAACATTTAGAGTTAAAAAAAATTGGAGAGGATGGGAACAAAAGCTTTTAAGTTAAAACATTTTCTCTAGAATAGAATGCTTGTGACCACTAATTTATATTTGTTTATAAGTAAAGGCAAAAAAAAAAAAAAAAAGGATTTTGAAAGCACCATTATTATGTAATATTTGCTTGAAATCAGTCAAGTGCTATTTACCGCCTCATGGCTACTGTTTTTGGACACACTAGTGCTTTCCTCGTGCCCACTAGCACGTCTGATTTAAATCTATCATATTTGTTTACTTGTTTATTACCCATCTCCTCTGCAAAGGATGTACAACCTACAATACTAGTCTTTCCTCTGGTCTTGCACTGCTACCCACACTCTACCCCCGATTTGCTGTCCCTCCTTACTAGGTGATCTCATCCAGTTTCATGGAAATTGTCAAAGATATGACAAAACTAGAGAGAATAATATAATGAACCCCCATGTACCCATCACCTAGCTTCAAAATGATCTACTCGTGACCAATCTTGTGTGTTCTCTATATCTCTACTCTCTTTCCTTACCTCCCCCACTTGAGTTATTTTGAAGCAAATCCCAGACTTTTTACATCATTTCATCTGTAGTTATTTGAGTATGTATTGTAGGAACCAAATGACTGTTCGAAATACCTATTGTCTCATCTATAGATTCTCTCTCTCTGTTTATATTTATTTGTTAAAAAAAAAAAAGAAAAAACATATCCCGAGCCTTTGGATCCCAGTCTTTTCTCCAAAACTGCCCTGGCATTATGATTTACTCAACTGCTAAAACCAAAAAGTGTAGGCGTCTTCCTTAAGCCTCCCTTTCTTTCACCCCCATACTCCTATTGGACCTACCTCTGAAAAGCATCTCAGGATGACCTACTCCTCACCTCTCACCTGCCCCCCCACAGTCACTTCCTGTATGACCTCTCTCTCTGCACTCGGGCACCTCTATATCCCATTCTCTACTGCAGCATGCAGAAATTAGATTTATAGAATGCAAATCAGATTAAGTCACACCCTTGCTTAAATCCAATCAGTGGCCTCCCACTGCTCTTGGTTAAAACTGGCACTTGCGGGACCTGGCATCATTCCTGCCCTCCTTCATGGCACCTGAATGCTGTCCCCCGGCTTTTCACTGGGCTGGCTGGCTCACTCATCTTCTAAGGCAACATTTCTCACTTTTCCATGTCTTTTACTCTTAGAAAACGATTGGATTTGTGTAGTACGTGGAAGAAAAGTGGAGGGGATTTGAAGCTATTCTATAGAACTTGATTGAAAAATATATATTTTTATATTACATAATCACTGTAGGAGAAAATACTGTTTTAAGGAAGGTTTTAATATCAAATGTGTAAAACTTACAAATAAAATGTTTTCAAAGGTTTTAGTTAGAAACGTTGAGCTTACATCCATGAACGTAATTTTTGATACCAGGTTTTACGGCCATATGCCATTCCTGATTAAGACTTTTTAATGAAGAGCGCTTCAAATTCTTGATGATCTCATCATTGAAAAACTTTGTTCACACAAGTAGGTGGTAAAAAGTTAAAAATAATTGTTTTTAATCATTCAAAAAAGTTGAACAGTTGAAGTTATATATTGAAAATTCTTCCCTTTCTTTCATTGACAAATCTAATCTTGAAATTTCTGGTGAATGGATTATGAATCCAATTAAACTTTTTAAAAGTCAAGTATTTAAAGATAATGATGTAGCTCAAATTTGCAAAATACACCCTGCAGCTTCCTTGGTCACAACTCAAAAGATTCTGTACATTAAATCGGAGGGAAGTAACCTGATAGGAAGACAGAAATTGGGGTCTGCACCCGGAGCCCTGTTCGGCCTTTGTCCCCAACCCTGACTGGCTGTATTTTAGGCTGCACCAATGCTCCCTGGGCACCTGGCATGGATATTTCTCGGGCTCCACGTCAGTGGTGGGCAATGCCCCCTGCCCCGCAGGACTGAAGCAGGAACCTGGGGGCTGTGATCAGCATATCACACGGAGCAGTGAGTAGTGGGCACCGAGTATCTACTGTATTCAGCATTGCTGTGACCACGGGACACAGGTCAGGCCCATGCTGCTCGGGGTGCCCTCCAAGGACACCAGTAGGGGCTGCTCACAACCGGGGCCCTGGGCCCTAGGGCTGACGTCATCTATCTTCTGGCACCGCCATTGCCCATAGGGAAGGCCATTGGGCTGCTCCGAGTTCTCAGCCCCAATGTCACCCCTTAGAGAGACCTCTGAGACCCTGAGTTCCCTGCCCCTCCCTCCTACATTATAGCGTCACATTTCCATGCTTATTTCCCTCACAGTAACTTACAAGCTGACATTTTGTTGATTTCTTTGCTGATTTGTGGTCTTCCCGACTGCACTGTAAACATAGTGAGAACAAGAACTTTGATATTTTTATACAGTTTGATATTTTATATACTATACAAATCGCCCATGCCAGACACAGCAAATATTTGATTGATGAATAAACTAAAAGTGACCATATTTTATAAAGTTTTACAGTCAATTGTAAGATTCATTTTTGCAGAATATGCACATGTGAAAAAAACGTACCTCTTAAGAGTAAATGAGCTATGATCCGTTTCTCAGTATTCTCATCAGTAAAAGAAAGATAAATATTTTTCTCATGGTGAAATTGTTTGGATGAAGGGTGCCCGTTGGACC